TTAGACTTTGTTTTGCATAACAAATAGTTTACAACCTTTCATATAAACACATATACAGTATATTGTACATTTTATTACATGAATAAATCGTATCAATATAATTGAGAGTTAATTGATATTATAAACTCCATACTATTGTTGTTTAGTATTTATAAATTCTGTATTACAAAATGAAAGTACTATAATTATGATGTAAACATAAATGTAGTGGAAAAGTTAACAAGTTTGACTGGTTTATAGACAAGTTTTTTAAAGTCATCAAAACTAACTATTTGTTTAAAACATACTTTTGTACTTAAAAATACTTTAATATGTGTTGAATTAATTTATACATAAAAATGTATGAGGTTTATTTGGAATTGAATCAAAACACATTATACATATATTTTTAAAAATATTTAATCATAAAAATATTTCAAACATTTTAAATTCATACATGTCATTCAACATTCAAAACAAATTCTTGAATAGTGTTTAGTATTTGAATGCAAATTCATAAACACTACACAATATATCGACGGGTTTTGGAGGCCCAGTACAGGTTACCTTTGGTGAGGCACACCATTTCCAGCACATACTCGTAGATCGCCTTATCCTTCATGAGTCTGATCTGTTCGGCATAATTCATGGCTATAGTCCAGGCGTCGTGTATCTCATACACCATGCGATCCATAGCCGTCTGGGCCGAGCAGCCCTCGTGAGCCATAATTAGGTACAGATAACTGTATTTGAGTCGTCCGTCCCGGAGCCGCTTTTTCAGGCCGTAGATCTCGTTCACTAACACCGTGTGTCTGCCGAGGGCTGCCGTATAGGCCTTATAGATCTTGTTGTCCACCATTTTATGGACAGTGGGGTCGTAGGCGCAGCTCATCTCAGCACAGATAGCTAGCACACCATGTGCTGACTCCTTCTCCCTATTAATTTATAATAAAACACATATTAGTACCTTGCTTATTTTAATTGTTTGCTTATCTAAATTGATGATTTCTGTGGCTATACCTGAGATCAAAGAACTGTTCGTAAGACATGACTTTGTCGTTGAAGCCATAGTTATTGATCTCGACATACGAGTCAATCCAGTCGACCACGTGCTGCACGTGTCGGTCGTACTGCGCGGCACTCAATGCCTTTTTCATGTACTCCATGGCTTTGGTCATCATTTTATCCATAGCAGTGCTATCAGCTGTCTTTCCGTTCTTATATTTATCCGACCATTTGCTGGGAAGGGAACGGTATTTAATTGTAATCAACTCATAATAGATTAAAATTCTGCTTTGTATAGCACTTTAGATTAATCGGAATTATTTTCAAATCAATTAAGCCCTGGTTACACTCATACAAAACAAACCTGGTCACATTTCTATCCTTCTCATTGATGAGTAGGTCATCCATCAGGAATGAAAAGGTTGTCCAGTAGTTGATGGCCAGGAACTGATCCCTGTCTTTGGTATAATAGCCAGAATAGGTGAGGAGAGTGTAGTCCCGGTCATCCTTCCACGGCTTCCCATAGGCTTCGCTCAGCTCTTTCTCCAGCACTTCGACGGCGTCTTTAGTCCAGGGGTTGGGCTCCAGTTTCTCGGCGAACAGACCCCTCAGCTTATGGGCCAACAGGTCCTCAGCGATGAGGTTCACCTCTTTGGCACTCTTTGTGGGCTTCTTCTGGTACTCTTCGTTCAGAAACCCTTTTGATGTCAATATTGGGTCCCGTTTTACGCACTGATTCTCGTGTGGTCTCACTGTTCGGGGTATTTGGCAAATATTTTTAGATTTTATTTATGGTTCAATGTTATGATTTGTAAGTTTAATACTATATTTTTGTTAAAAGGTGTTATTTTATATATAATTTAACGAATAAATCTACTTACAGATTACGGACATTGTATATATTTATTAATTTATACTTTAAATTACAAAATTTTTAATGGTTTACAAATGCTTGCAAATCATCAAATGAACGCAAATCTGTTTTTACAACTTTTATTAGTCTTTTAACAGAATTTTCTAGAATTTAAATGAGATTTTTTAAATTAATTAAATCTATTTTCAAATGTTAGGTTTAATTTTAAGCATCACATGTGTTCACAAAAATATAATGATGATCACAACATATAAATTTAATAATTTTGAACACAATTTTATTGCTTTTAATTATTAACCTTCACCGAAATATTATATTTAATATCATAATATTTGAGAGATTATTAAATAAAGTTAAATTGCTTTATAATTGTTTTGAATAATTGAGATAAATTTTACAGTTTAAATAAAAGTTTCCACAAAAACAGCATAAACTCATAAATGAAAACTGTGCTTGCTAGAAAATATCCGACTAATAAGGAGGAGACAGCCTCACGAACAAACTCATCCATGGTTATTGCTTTGCATTTGTTAAATCGTGTTATTGGAGACTTTTTTGCCTTGTTTATTTTGCCAAATGTGCCCACTAAAATACGAGCCAGTACATATGTTTGGGCAGTAATCCCGGACTCAGCCAATCTTTTTAATCTAAATATTTTAGAACAATATTATAATAAAAGTTTAATTTTTATATTATATTGAACATAAATTAATTTCAACTTATTTACCCTGTTTGACATGAGATAGTGCGCCGCACTATCTGTTAAAAAAGTGATTTTTTGGGAAAAAGTATAGGGCGCACTATACGATGGGTGCGCATTATCTGAGAAAAATCATTTCAATTAAAATAATTTTTATTTGCAATAATTTTAAATTAATAGAATCAAAGAATTAAATCAAACTTTGTATTAATTAAACAACTTTATAAATTAAAAACACATTAATTTGAGTAAATGTGTTAAAAAACGTGAGTATTAGC